CCACAAGAGGACACTGGGCAGTGACTGCAGCCCGCCCGGCAGGTTCTGGAGCATTGGCGGCCCGGAGATCCCCGCACATCTGGAAGGAAGATACCATAGCGCAGTCAGGGCACAGAAGTTGCTCTTGAACACTACTTGATTTGTGTTGAAATAAACATTCCAGAAGGAGAGATAAAGGAGAAGTCTCCCGAAAGAAGAGAAAATGCTGCCAGCTGTCCTCTGACTTGTCCCAGCCACACCCTCCAGCTCACACGAGACCCAAGTGTTTTGTAGGGCAGAGGCAGGCAGTGGTCTCTACCACTGCTGTCAGAGAAGGAAGCCAGCTCATCTTAATGAGGGGATCAGAGAAGACTTCCTGGAGGAGGGGGCATTAAATAGGGCATTGGTGTGGGGCTAGAAGGTTGGTGGAGAAAGATGATAGGAGAAAGGGCATCACAGAGAGAAGACAGTGTGAGCAGTAGTTCTGAAGTAAGAGGGGCAGCAGGACTTTGGGGGACAGTGAGTGATCCAGTTTTGTTGTAGGACAGATTGGCTGTAAAGTTGCTGTTAAGTGATGAGGCTGGACAGGAAGACCTGGGCCTGGCAGTGGATGACTTCATCAGGCACCTGTGTTTATTTTAATTTGACAGATAAATAGGAAAACAATGTGCTCAGAGAGCAGGGGCCACTACTTTTTAACCTTTCTTTATCCTCAGTGCCTGGTACATTGGGGCATATTAGGGGGCTTAATTAGTATTTACTTAGTGGATAGTGGATGGTTAGGTGGCTGGCTGGCTGGCAGGCTGATGGGTGGATAGCTGGATGGATGAATGGTAGATGGATGGATGAACGGTGAGTGGATGGGTTGATGGGTGAATAGATGGGTGGATGGGTGGATGGATGGATGAATGGTGAGTGGATGGATGGATGGATGAGTGGATGGGTGGATGGGTAGATGCATGGGTGGATGGGTGGATGATGATGATGATGAAAGTTGGTGGCTGGAATGGAAAAATGGGTGGTGGATGATGGAAGATTAATGGACAAATGGTTGGGGGGACAGATGATGGACAGATACAGGCATGGAGGCATGCTGGGGTGAAAGGGTGGGAAGGCAGGCAATGGGTGGGTAGAAGAATGCATAGATGGATGGGGGGATGGATGGATTAATGGGTAGATGGATGGGTGGTTGGGTGATGATGCCCAGATGGACAGATTGGCTGGTGATGAGGGACAGATGGATGAATACATTAGTGTGGTTGGGTGGATGGGTGGGTGGATGGATGTACATTGTGGATCCTACAACTCCTGGAGCCAGCATAGATGAGGAAAGAGTGAGTTTTGGGGGGGGGGCTATCACTTATTAGAGATAACCACATCTCTTCCCACAAGAGGAGTCAAAGATCTTCCACTCAGAGGCAGGTTTTCACCTCCCCACTGTACTTTGAGGTGTAAGTTTCTTCATAATCGTGTCCCTTTGTGTTTGGGATTAGTGTTCTAGGCGTATTGTTTTTAAATCATGGAAATGCTGTCAGGAAAGTTACTTAAGACTTGTGAGTATGTTGCGGAGGGACAGAGAAGGAGGCAGGGGGAAGGAGGGAGGGAGGTGGTGTGGGGTGGTGGACAGCCCCACGATTTGCCTCCAGACTGTCAGTGGGGAACGCTTGGCCTGGCAGGCTGGCTCCCGAGCTGTGACTCGGGGCTTGGACCTGGTGAGGCCTCGGTCTGAACGGGGCTGCCTGCCCAGCTGTGAGCTCCCCGCCTCACGCGGGCCCTGGGTCTGTCCCTAGCTGCGGCCCGGCCTCGCCCAGGGGCCCCATCCCTGCTTGGTGTCTGGGTGGCTCAGGCAGTCAGCTTCCTCTCCGAGGACCTACTGTGTGTCCCCGGCATTTACTGTCTTCTGGGGGCAACCAGCTGCACCCTGATCCCAAGGTGGTGGGTGCCCGCGGAGGGCCTCGTGCAGTGTGACACCGAGGGGGTGGCACCCCGGGGCTGGGACAGGTACCCCGGGAGTTGGAGGGAGAGCCGTCCGATGGGTGCTCATGGTCCCTGGGGAAGGCAGTGGTTGTCCCAGGGGACAGGCAGGCTTGGCGCCCACGTTGAGTGTGAAGCCCAGCTGTACCTCTTTGAGCCAGGACCACCTCCTTTCTCTGCCTGGACGGCCTTGGCTCCCCACTCCCCGAGCTGAGCCCAGGGTCTCTCTCCAAGCAGACAGAGCGTCATGCTTGTAAGGCCGGACAGTCAGGGGACTCACATCACCGAGCCTGCTTGGAAGGACCTCGTGGCTGCAGGTGCATGACGGAAACCTCCCACAGCCCTACAGTCTGCTTAGGTATACTTCTAATTCTTACTGAATTATATATGAAGCTTTCTACAACACTAATGGATGTACTCAATATGTTAACAGAAGGACCATCCTGACCTGTAATAATATCCGGTGAATTATGAGAAGTAACAGTTTACATAACCTGTGTTTTTTAATCCTAACTAGCAAGTTCCCACCCACAGCAGCCCCACGGGTGTCGGACGTCCCCCACTTTCTGGAAGAGCAACCACGAGGACTTGCCCCTTGGCCCCACGCCACTGACTGCGGAGGACCAGGGCGGAGGGTGGCGCTCGGGGCCGCTGGCAAACGGACTCCTCCCGCGTGGCACCCTGCAGCCTCGTGCCGTGGGCCTTCCCAGTGCCTGCCCTTCCTGCCGACGGTGTCCAGGGAGCCGGAGGCTAGCTGGCTATGAGCGGTCAGGCCCTTCAGTGACTGACTTGCACGGGGCTGCTTGTCATTGTGTTAATGAAGTTTGAAGGTGTTGGCAGCAGCGAGCGTGTGGAGGGAGCGTGTCCAGTCGGGAGCAGCCGTGCGTTGGCCTTTGTGTGTCGCTGGCTGCCCAAGGCCCGTCTGGTCAAGGCTGTGGTTCTTCCAGCGGTCGTGTATGGATGTGAGAGCTGGACCATAAAGAAAGCTGAGTGCCGAAGAATTGATGCTTTTGAACTGTGGTGTTGGAGAAGACTCTTGAGAGTCCCTTGGACAGCAAGGAGATCCAACCAGTCCATCCTAAAGGAATTCAGTCCTCAATATTCATTGAAAGGACTGATGTTGAAGCTGAAACTCCAATACTTTGGCCACCTGATGTGAAGAACTAACTCATTGGAACAGACCCTGATGCTGGGAAAGATTGAAGGCAAGAGGAGAAGCGGACGACAGAGGACGAGAAGGTTGAATGGCATCACCGACTTGATGGACATGAGTTTGAGCAAGCTCTGGGAGTTGGTGGTGGACAGGGAGACCTGGCGTGCTGCGGTCCATGGGGTCACAAAGAGTCAGACACGACTGAGTGACTGAACTGAACTCTCACTGGCTGAATCCTCTGGGAGGGAGTGGCTGGGGGCAGGGGGGCAGGGACCACTGTGCTTGGTTGCTGAGAAAGGCGTGAACAGCGTTCTGCTAGCCAGTGGCCAGGAGGAGCTCCCACGAGCCTTCCAGGAGCCCTCTGTCTGGGCCCATTAGGCCCATGCACACCTCCCATCTCACCCCGATGACACTGCAAGCCTGTGCCTGAAACACAGGACCCCCTCCCTCAGCAGCGTGGCTCCTGCGGGGCTCTGCACGCCTGGCTCCCACTGCCCGCCCTGAGCTTGAGTCCCGGGGTGGGGCCACCCTGGCTCTCAGCACACGGAGTCCCTTCAGAGAGGACCCCGCCTCAGCTGCCTGCTGTTCGCGCCTCAGCGCTCTCACTGGATGGCTCAGGCTGGCAGGTGGACAGTGCCTGTGGGCCAGTTGGTCAACAGTGCCCGGAGCCGGGGGTTGAGAAAAGTTCTGAGGCTGCATCTGGGCTGCAGGGGAGACGCAGAAAGCAGAGGGTCAGTCCCTTCCTGACCTCCGCCTTCTCCAGTCCCTTCCCAGGAGGGTAGGGGCCTTTGGAAGGGCCCCTGAGCACAGCAGGCTCTTCTGTTTGCAGAAGGACCGGCCCCAGAGAAAGGAGAGGCAGCCCAGGCCTCCCCACGTGGGCTCGAGGTGGCCGGCAGGGAGCGCTCCCTCCGGACAGGCCAGTGTCAGGTGGGCGTGCTCCGGTTCAGTTTTGTCTCGGACCTTCTCTCTGGGTGTCTGGCCCAAGCCCCCAACACGCTGCTCACATCTGGAGGTCGACAGAAGGGGGATGAAGGCCCCGCCCCGTGGCTCAGCTCTCCCTCCCCTCTCCCCTCCCCTCGGCCACCCCTGCCTTCCTCTCTGTCCCCCTCCCCCCACCCTCCCCTCCACGAGAGCCGCGGCCTGGCCGTCCAAGGGCTGGGCTTGGCCTCAGATGAGGCGTCCCTGTGGACAGCGGTGATGTCACGGATCAGTCTGTGGCTCCCAGGGTGTGGACTGAGAAGGTCTGCCTCCCTCTCCAGGCTGACGGTGGGGGTCTGGATGCCCGTGCCCTGGCACGACCCTGAAAGAATACAGAGGGAGATTCAGTGAAGGACGGTGGGTACAGGGGGGCAGGCTGCCCAGGACGGCCTCTCCTCGCTGGGGAAGACCCTGGAGAGGCGCTGCCTGCGCTAGGCTGTAGACCGCCCAGTGGAGGGGCCGCGGGGAAGGACCCCTCCCCACCAGGATCAGTACCCAGCGGACGGCTGGTGGTTCCAGGCCGGCTGACTTGTGTAGCCCAGAAACATCTGTAGGGGTCATAACCTCCAGCAGCTGCGAGTGTGACCTTATTTGGAAATATCAACTTTGCAGCCGTAATCAGTCAGAGGAAGGGGAGGTCCTCCGGGAGTCGGGGAGGACCTAGTGCAAGGACCTGAGAAGATGAAGCTTGGACGGGCAGGCAGGGAGCCAGCGACACCTGCCGATGAGGCAGAGACTGGTGCGATGTGCTGCCGCCCTAGGAGGGTCGGGGGCGTCCTGCCGCCCCTGGGAGCTGGACTGGTCCTCCCCCTGGGCCCCCAGAAGGAGCCCTGACTCTGGACTTCGGCCTCTAGGCCCTGAGGGAGCGGATCTCTGTTGTCTAGATCTGCACAGGCTTAGGAATTTGGTGGCGGCCCTAGGGGCCGGTGCCAGCCGGGCCTTCACTGCCTGTGGTCACTCTGGCCGGCAGGACCGCCATCTTCGCTGCAGCTGTCTCTACCCCCGTCCGCTCCCTCTCGCACGGGCTGATGGCGCTGGTGCTCCGTGCCCTGGGCTGGGCTCCGGTGATGCCTGCGGCAGCTTCTGAGCAAGAGATGACGGTCTCCATTTCCTGCTCCGTCTAAATGGTAACGCAGAGGCTGTCCCACTGCCTGGCCCTCCAGTTCCACGTCTGCCATCTGTCCCTGGAGGGACCCGCACCTCTGGGCTGGGACAGTTATGGTCTGGTGCTGGGCGTGGGCCGCCGTGCGGCAACAGCGTCCGTTTGCTGCATCCTTTGTTCACAGCGGGGACACATGCCCAGATGTGACAGAGCAATATCATCTCCCTGGCAGCCCTCGGATCCCCAGATAAGCTGTCGATCGGACGGTGCCTCCAGTCTCTCGCTATCTGGCTCTATTTCGCTGTAATAGAAGGGAAGAAGCAGTTGGTAACGACCCGTGACAGCTGCTATATTGATATTCCCAGTCTTGGGGAGAGAGACAGGAAAAAAAAAATAAACACTTGATAAAAGTATGATTGAAGATTAATAGTTGTCTGGTGACGATTCACAATGAAACAGCCTGTAAAGATATTACTTGTCTGCAGAGTCCAATTGCTCCCGGCTGCAGAGAGGCTGGTGTTCAGAGAGGGTGCTGCTGGGCCGGGGGTGGGGGACAGGTGCCTCCATGGAGGCCCTCGGGCCAGCCCCAGGGCTCGTGGCAGTTTCAGGAACTCTTGGCCAGCAGCTTGGAAGAGTCCCAGCTTGGGGAGGGCAGATGGAAATTGCTTTGGAACTGTTTATTTATTTATATGCCAGCATGTTTCAGAAAGGATTTAAAGAGGCTTAGAAATTGCTTTGTCTAAGAAGCTCCTAGTAATCCTCAAGGCTCTTCCCCAGCAGTGCAGCAGATTCTGTGGCATCAGAGAGCCAGGTGGGGAAGGCTGGGCCAGGAATAAGATCAGGTCCTTGTGCTAACAATAAGGAAGCTGGGTCCCATTGGACTGCAAGGACCTCAATGCCATGGGTGGAAAAGCCAGGACTGAAAACAGCTCACTCACTCATTCATTCATTCATTCTCTCATTCATTTTTTCATTGGAATCCTGCATCCTTTGTGAAATTTTGTTCATCAGAAGAAACCAAGAGACTAGTTAACTGGGACAAGTTATCTTGCTGCAAACATAACCAAGGAAAGGTCAATGTCCTGAATACAGAGACACAGCTTGCACCTCGCCCAGAGGAGACCCCCTTGGCCAGTGAGGACCAGGAAGTGGCTCTGGTCACTGGCCATCAGGGGAGGCAGGTCCAAGTTCTGGAGGATGTGATGGTGCCTGTTAAATTGGCAAAAATTACAAATTGGAGATGAAAATCACCTGGATGGGGGAGCAGGAGCACAGGATACAGGACAAAGGGTTAAGCGTGGGTGGCTGCCGTGGCTGTGTTGCTGAGGGGGTTATGAGGGTTTATTGCATTTTACAAATAACAAAGTAAGTGTGTTCGTTCCCTGTGGCCACCAAACAAATTGGCACAAACTAGACAGCTTAAAACAACAGAAATTCATTCTCTCCCAGCTCCAGAGGTCTGACAGCAAGGAGGTACCATACACGTTCCCCCGAAAGGCTCCCGGGGACAGTCCTTCCCGCCTCTCCCAGCTTCTGGTGGCCCCCCGGGTTTCTCGGCCGTGGCAGCATCGCTCCAGTCTGTGCTTCTGTCTTCTCGTGGCCTCCCCGCTCCCGGGGTGTCCCTCTGGGTCCACCTCTCCTCCGCGTCTTCTGAGGACAGCAACCATTGGAATAGGAGTCGGCCCTCAGTTTAAGATTATCTCATTTTGAGACCCTTAACTACATCTGAAAAGACCTCTTCTCTGAACAAGGTCCCACCCACAGTTTCTGGGGTTTGGGACATGGGCATACCTTGGGGGGCGTTCTGTCCACCACAGTGAGTGGGTGTGAACAGGGATGGAAGCAGGTCCTGTGGGGAGCATCAGGCTCAATCGGGGTCTCTCAAATTAGAACAGCCACGAAAGGCAGACGGTTCATCTGTCTCCTGGGGCTGGTGTGTGAGAGGACAAGGTTCTTCTCCCAGGAGACTGCAGCCAAGCCTCCCAGCTCAAGACCACCCGCCTGGCTGGGCCTGTGGGCCTCCAGATCTCAGGGCTTTTCTGCTCGACCGGGGTTCTCTGTGCAGAAAGCACACAGCCCTCTCCGGAGGCTTTGTCCTTCTGTGGGATGTGCTTGTGTGTGTGCATATGTGTTGTACGTGTGTGTATTGTGTGTGCACGTGTGTATGAGTGGCATGTGTATGTCTGTAGGTGTGAGTGTGTAGGTGTACCTGCATGTTGTGTGTGATATATGCATACGGATATGCATGTCTGTGTGTGCATGTGTGTACGTAAGCAAGCTTGTGTTCACAGTGTATGTGTGTGATGGCGCACGTGTGTGCACACTCAGGAATGTGTGTGACGTGGAGCTCACAGGCAGTACATCAGCTTCCCCAGCGTGGTGGAGCGGGTCCTGACCGGTGAGTGGGGTCCTGGCAGCGTCCCCGGAGGACAAGGCTCAGGGAGGCAGAGGGTGGCGGGGCGCCTGTGAGGCACAGGTTCCTCCTGGCCCGGGAAACCCTGCTTCCCTCTCCCAGACCCTCATTTATATTTCTTTGTTCTAGTTTATGAATCTTCATAAGCTGTCTTAAATCCTTTTTGAACAAGGCAGGGCATAAAGAGATAAATAAATAAAAACCCCATGCTTCCAATTTTAAAACATCTTTCCCAGGCCCCTCGTTCCGGGAATGATCCATTCATTACCTCTGACAACTCCCCATCCAGGCCCCAGGCGCTTCGGGGCTCAGAAAAATGAGCTGGTTCAGAAGCAGCTTTCATCGTCCTGCTAACATTTACCAAGTGTCTTCTGACACCGTGGAGGAAGCGTCAGCAAGCGCTGGAGACAGGATCTGGGTCCTGGGAGGTCCCAGGCTGACCAAGCACCTACACCACTTTGCCTCAGCTGACGCTGACTCCAGGCAGGCAAAGCACCCCTGCCCCCAACAAATCAGTGCTTACTGAAAACCTACTGTGTGCAACCCAGGAGGCTGGGTGCCCACAGGAACTGTGTTCTAGGAAATAGCTTTAAGTCCTGCCCTTCAGCTTCCCCAGTGCTGAGAGCCTTCAGAATGGGACTTGGTTTCAGATACTGGAGGCTGGCAGGGTTCCCGGTGCAGAGAAGGTGTCAGTGAAGGTGTTTGCTGATTGGTTGACCTATTGGTTGATTGGTTAAGATACCAAGAAAGTCACACTGTTAAGTAGCTGCTGCTGCTGCTAAGTCACCTCAGTCGTGTCTGACTCTCTGCGACCCCATAGACGGCAGCCCACCAGGCGCCCCATCCCTGGGATTCTCCAGGCAAGAACACTGGAGTGACTGTTAAGTAGAGGCTGAACTAAAAGGTGAGCTAGTTTGTTTCTTCATCAGATAGACCAGGGTGTGTGTGTGTGTGTGTGTGTGTGTGTGTGTGTATTAACATCCAGATCGGATCATTTTTACCCTTACACCAGTGCTCTTTTTGGTGCCCCAGACAGAAATCAGTAGTCAGCCCCTTTCACTGTGAGCATAGAACACGTGTGAGTACGCATAACACAGTCTCAGTTCCACCGAGATTGAAGGTCATTCTCAGTGCATCCCTGATTTTGGTGGGTCCTAAGTCAGAATTGGGAGGAATTCTGAAATAAATCACGGTGCCCGAAGCCCTTTCCTGAAATGAAGGCCCTCTCCTAGGTGCAGGCATCACCCTGGCCCCGGCCCAAGCGTTCAGTCTGATGTCAGAGGCTCTGGGTGAGTGATGGAGATCAGATACCAGGGACCTGTGAGCAGCTGGAGCTTGGCCACCATATTTCAGGCCCATCCCCACCATTTTTTCAGTGTTTTATTAGGGGAAGCACACATTTTGGCTGTATTGTCCTCTGTTTCATGAGCTGGAACCATAATTGTTGGCTCTTCCATGACCAGACACATATGCAGTTGTGCCTGGCTGAAGCTATTGGAGATGAGGAGGTGAGATTCTCAAACTTCTGAGGCTTTCCTGAAGCACAGGCTCAGTGGATGTACATTAATGAAGTAAGTGAGAAGTTGGGTATGTATGTGTACGCCATAAGTGGGTATGGGTTTTTGGTCACTTGGGCTGCCCTTGGAATTGACCTCAGATGGGAGACAAATGATGCTGTAGAAAGCATGTAGGTGTGCGGTTAGGACTGGGCTCCGGTAGGTCTTGGCTCCATTCCTCAGCACGATTTAATCAGCGTCTCTGTCCCTCCGTGTCCTCACCTGTGGAAACGGGGCTGCAGCCATGACTCCTGTCCGGTCCACCTAATGCTGCTGCTTCGAGGACTCTAAGTGCACATATGTTACAGAAGATCAGACAGGCAACATGGGGCATTTTCTCCAGAGATATGTCTAATCATCTTTTTTCCTTTATGCAGGATGAGGAATAACTGGTGCCAATTAAAAAACACACATGCATTTATCATATTAGCATATGAAACATGTATGCGGCAAATGAAGGGGATGTGGTTGGGGGCTGGGCCGGTTACTAAGTCCACATGCCCTGAGATAGCCGTGGACTCCAGCTTTCCTGTGAAGTGACGGGTGATGCTCAGTGGCCTGAGTTCAGGCGCATCAAGCTTGCAGGGATCAGGGTTCTGTTTTCCTCTCGTGGGGACAGAGAGGAAATAGAATTCATTCTATTTGAATGAAGAACTTGGGGACTCAGGCCCCAGACACCTTCCCAACCTCAACTCCAAGTCATCCTCTCAGACTCGCCTCCCCAGGGGACCCACAAGTCTGGTCACTGGTGTCTCCAGACCTGCCCCAGTCCTCCCGCCTGGAGAAACAGGAGAGTAAATCTAACTGGTGGGATGCTGAGCACAGAGCCTAAATGTAAGAGAGTTGAGGCTGCAAACAGGCTTCTGCTCATCTCTTATCAGCAATGACATGGTTGACTGGCCTTGGAGAAATGCAGAGATGCCGGTGGTCCCATGGGGAGGATGGGGCACAGACAAAGGCCCGGGCAGTGGGTGAGGCTTGACCGAGTACAGGCTGGCCACTCCTGAACAGCACAGCCTTTGGAAAATTTCCTGGACGCTCTGAGCCTT